AGCTGGTTTGACCTGAGTCATACATGTATGTAAACTTCTGGCATATTTTCTCTCATTATTGTGGACTTTATCAATAAATTAATAAATCAAGTTTATATTTACAGCACATTTCTGCAACAAGGGAGTTCAAAGTGCTATACATCATAAAAGCACAAAAATAAAAATTAATAAAAACAACATACAGTCACCAGCTGAGAAAACCAGTTGAGAAACATTAAATTTTGTCGACTGTCATCATTAAAATCATCAATAAACATCAAATATGTTGATCAATGTTTCATTAATTGTGGTTCAAAAGACACTCTAAACAGGTGGTTTTAGCCTTGATTTAAAGGAACTTAGTGTTTCGTCTGATTTTCAATCTTATGGAAGTTTGTTCCAGATTTCAACTACTTCATTATAAAACCTTAGAAGAAATTATGAGTCAGTTAAGCTCCAGTTCCTGCTGTCTGGATGTCCTACCCACACATTTCTTTAAGAAAGTTTTGCCTGTCGTTGCTAATGATCTGATCCAAATAGTAACTCATCGCTCTCTTCAGGTGTTTTCCCCCAGGCTTTGAAAACAGCAGCTATCAAACCACTGATAAAAAAGAACAATCTAGAGAAATCACTGCTGCAGAACTACAGGCCGATCTCAACCTCCCATTCATCAGCAAAATGATTGAAAAAGCAGTTTTTAAACAATTAACTAACTTCCTAACAATAATGAATCGCTTTGACTCCTTCCAGTCGGGTTTTCGTGCTCACCACAGCACGGAGACGGCCTAGTCAAAGTGTTCAATGATATCCATATAAATACAGACTGTGGGAGAACCACAGTGCTGGTTCTGTTGGACCTCAGTGCAACTTTCGACACTGTTGACCACGACATCGCAATTATTTAGTTTAATTAAATAATCACAATAATTATTTAATTTGATTAATTATTGTGATTGTTTTATTTAATTATTAAATTAACTAATTGCTATAATTAAATTAAATAATTATTTAATTTCTCTTTGCCATTAATAAAGCATTTTTGAATTTGAATCAGAAAATACATTTTTTAAAAATAGTTTGACCACATCTATCACAATATATATTTATTATTTATTTATTATCCAGCCCTACCAAGGCTGTACAAAAAATCTGATTAATCACAGTTAATTGATGCTTTACCTATGTTTTTAATGATTAGTAAAGAAAAACAGAACAAATCAGTAACACAGCTTTAGCTTTAAAACCAGCCGAACCCGAATGAATTGTCAGCATCAGGTGGATGTGAAACACGTTTATTAGTTTTCACTCTGTGCATCAGGAACCAGCTCACAGTTTTTGACCCAGTTCCACATGGTGCACCGAACGGGCGCCACTCGTCGCTCCATGAGGAAACAAGGCACTTAACCGTACAGCAGATGTCAACCCCGTGACGCCCAACGTCTCGATACATTTACAGATGAAAGGCTCCATCACTCCAAAAATAAAAAATGAAACCAAAACTTTCATCTTCACAGATCAGAAGCTCCAACAAGCAGAGGGGTTTTTTCTACTTCTTGTTTTTAAAAATGACTGACAGACTCGGTGATAAGTACAAATCACATCAAACGTGGTTTTAAAAAAACAGTAAAGGGATTACTCAATTTCTGTAAACACGTAGTAAAATACCTGCGTTTTGTGTGGGTCGGGTTCTGCTTGGCGTGCAAACAGACTCAGAGACGGCATCGTTCACACTGACATCTTACTTTTTCTGTTTAAAGTCAGAGTTGAATGATTTAGGATAATATTTCTTGTTTTGGTTTTGAAGGAGCCAGACTTCCTTGTAATCTTTTAAAGTGGTTCTGAATCTTACATGGTTTTAATTGGACTTTGGCTGCTTCTGACCGACTTTGTGTTTTTGAAGGACGTTGTCTTTCTGAAACGGACAAACCAAAGCAGATGGATAGTTTCTGAATGTCTTTTAGAAATTAGAGAAAAATCCAGCCTGAGATGGAGCTGATAGACAAGTCGTCCTTCAGATGACCTTCAGATGACCTTCAGATTTGTGTTTTCAACCCACAGGGAATGATTTTCATTTTCAGTCTGGAAAAACCCGACAGTCTTTCAGAAAAACTAAAAATTTGATTTTCAGACCATCCAACCATCAGTCTGTCCGTCCGATGAATCTGGCATAATTTGTCTAAAATGATCTGACAAAGACAGAAGTGAAAAAGCAGCCAAAGTCGAAACAAAACTTTGAAAGATCTGAAAACATAATCATTCAGTCATTAAGATTTTTAAAGAAACACAACACGTTTTAGGGCTTGTACAAAAGTCTCTTTGTGAAAGTAGACTTTTGCTTCTCACTGAGCTGAAATCACTTCAGGGTTTCTGACTTGATATGCAAATCACAGCAAAGATGCAGCTTCAGATTTACACTGAACTAAAATAACTCCTGGTTCCTCCAAAGTTTTATCCAGACGGGAGGAACTGGAAGCGATTCCAGTGAATCTTCCCTTCAGCTGGAGCAACGAACCCAACGGTCTGTTAAACGGATCTGATGTCACTGATCGATAGATGTGACCAGAGGTCTCCTTTAAGTGACGCTCAGTCTGTTCTGATCAGCGAGAAAGAAAGCCAGAAAGCCTTTCAGATTATTTGACAAACTTCCTTTTGTTGTGCCATTAAGTTTATATTTTATTTGTTGTTTTGTGTTGATCAAAAAGGTGACAAAATCCTTTAAAAAGAAGCGGTTTCGATGCTGAGTTTCGGCAGAAAACCAGTCACATACATCTTCAGGAGCGTGTTTAATTTCACCTCTTTATTCTGGCCGTGTGACAAGCCTGGTAGAAGCACGACAAAACTGGAGGTTTTATTGATTTCTTCTTTTTCTTTAGGCCAATCACCTGCCAGTTCATGTGTTTAAATTACTTGACTTTTTCCCTTAATGCTCAAATAAAGGTCAAGATTCAGAAATGTTTGAATGTTTGTTGACACGACCAAAATAAATTAGTGGCATCAAGATTAAAGACTAAGGACTTGCTCTCTATTTAGGTATAAAAAAATAAAGTTTTCTTGTTTTAATAAATGGCAGGAGGTATGTTTAAGTTGAAGAAGCCGCTCCTGGCCATATTTACACAACGAAAAACAAATGAAAATCTCCACGCACTGCAAAAACACAAAAGCTTTCTGGTCTAGTTTGTAGTGCAAATATCTTAGTACACTTTAAACAAACTTCAGCAAAATGTAGCAGCTTGTTTTAAGTCAGTAATACTTTATCACTGATGAAAAAGTACTAGTTCCACTTTAGGTGGGCACTGATAAATCGGCCCTGTTTTAGTTAATTTTGGGAGATCACTGATCAGGCAATACTTACATTTGAAGCTGATCTTATTCACTGATATTGAAAGGTCTAAAAATGAATCACTGTCTTCTTTTGGTCCCACCAGGTCATGTCTCAATGTTTACAGTTAACAATCGTCACCAACTCAGCAACTTTCTTTCTACATTTAACGACATTTCAGGCAAAAAATCCCCCCCAGTATCGGACAAAATCAGTAGATCAGGCTTTTAAAGATCAGTAATCAACAATCGGCCACAAAACTGGAGTCGCTGCACCACTAGTACTTCTAACAAGACAAGTTAAAGTCATTGAAACTAGATCTTTCTCATCAATTTTAAGGAATTATTGCTCTAAATCAAGCTCCTGTACTTTCTGAAAAGTTACTTTAGGTTGGTTTTGTTGGTAACACTTTATTTGAAGGGCTGTGCATAAAACTGACATGAACATGAAGGAGTCCTAATGAATGTTTATGACTGTCATGAAGCGTCATTCGGTAAAAAATGACACGTTTAATGTAATGTTGCACTAAAGGTTGCATTAAAAGTGTCTTTATTTACTGAATTGCACTTCATGACTACAGTCCTAAACATTCATGAAGACTCCTTCATGTTCATAACATGCCAGTCTAATTAAGACTCCTCTAAATAAAGTGTTACCCTTTTGTCTCATTTCAAACGGGATAAAATATTTGCACAGGAAGCTGGACCAAAAGGACTTGGTAAAGCTTTTTGGTTTTGCAGTTTGCATCCTAGAAGTTAGAAGATCCCCTAAAATAAGATACAATTACGAAAGTGAAAGCCTGTACTTCCATCCAGCGTTCCTCCCCTCTTCTTGTGGAGGTAATAAGCCCAGAGGGGGTTCTGGAGCATTTCTGGGCCAGAAGGGAGATGCGTTCCCTTCAGTGCGTTCTGGGTCAGCCTGGAGGTTTTCTTCCAGTGGGACGAATCCAGAAACTCTTCAAAGTGAGGCGCCCAGAAGGCATCCTGATCACAGAGCCGATCTACTTCAGCTGACTCGCTCAGATCTCAGCAGCGACTGGGGAAAATAAGTATTGAACACAGACTGCTCCCAGTAAATGTGCTCCTAACAGGCCCATTCTCATGAAAGTCACACCAGTATGTCAGTAACCAGCCCAGTAAAACCACACAGATAGAAAAGAAGCAGCACAAGTTGGTCCAAAAAATTAGTAAAGTGGAATAAAAAATGGGAAATTAAGATTTATTCAATATATTTTTTTAAAGTGAACGATATGGACTTAAAGGTTTTATCGTGATATTTTGTTGTACTATTGTGATAACGATAAAGATTATGATATAAAAAATTATTTTTTAAGTAATTATTTAACTGTGACAGTATGGTACAGCATTCATGGCACCAAAAACAGATTTAGTTCCCATTCGAAAAGCTTCATCTAAATTACATCTCTAAGCTGCACGCAGTAGCTGCATTTCATCATGTTTTTGGATTTACTAATGTTTATTGATGCTGAGAAAATAACAAAAATAACATTTTCAACCATAATGCAAGTTTTTTTTTTTTTTATTTAACGTCAATAACTGAAATTTATCAAAACATTTTTAAGAATTTTCTCACGATAAATGATAAACGATACGATATGTGCCCACCTCTCGTCCCAACCTTTGCTCAAGGAGGATTTTCCTTCTTCACACTAACGGACCGTAAATCTTCACATGTCTTTTGACGACTTTTAACGTGAACTGTGATGTTCAGACCTTTCTGTAGCTTTTTAAGCGAACTATTCCAGCAGTTTTAGTTTTAATTACCAGTTATGATGATTCCTTGAATGGAATAATTGTTTTAGTTTCAGCTTCTGTTTCTTATTAGGCCCTGGCACATTTCTCCATCCGTTCTTCTTAGATTTATATGAAATCTACCAGTTAAAAATGCTGAAAAGTAGCCACACATCATAATGCTTCCACCTCCAACCTTTCATTTGTATTGTGTTTTTGGGATGATGAAGACTGATATTCTTCCTCACATTCAAATAGTTCTGACCGAATTAGGTTTTTTCTTCAGCAGTGGAGTCTTGTGCTGTGAGTGTATACAAACCCCATTGTAGTCGAGTGAATTTATCGTTTAAATGGAAACTTTGTTCGGTTTAATTCGTCTTTTGATTATTCTTCTGACTTTTGTGTCAGAAATATTGTACTAATACTTGATCATGATGAAAATTTGCTGCTTCCACTTCCAGATTACGGAATAATCTGGATTAGTGCTAACTGGCACATTCATAAGGTTGGAAGTATGTCTTATTTTTGCAACAATAAGGTCTTAAGGGATCTCTTTACTCTGTAATGAAAAACCTTTTTATAGGCCATCAATTAAAGCTGAACTAGCTGATATAAATTTGCACTGATGGGAAGAAATCAGGATTTATGTCAGCCGTTTCTTGGCTTTCTTTGTCTTATTGCATGATGTGTTTTATTCTTATTTACTTATTATTATTTACTTAACTATGGACTTGATAGTTTTGATTTCTTTCTAGACTCTGTGCATTTTACATTAATTGTGTGAATTTCAAAGGCCCATTAGAAATACTTTTACCAACATGTTCTAAACTTAATTTCCCTATTGTACATTATATTACCATTGTTCTGACTAATCTTTCTAATTTCTATTCACATAAAATGAGTTGTAAATTACCTCACAAGGGAAAAATCACCTGGGTTAAACTTGACATTAAAACAATAAACCACAGTGCAGAAGGGTACAGTGGGAGTTTTCCTCATTTAGATGTTCAATCTCGCCTCTTTGGTACCGAAGGAAAAGAAAAATGAAGCATCACCTCGTCTCTGTATTAAATCTTTCTAATGTGAAATGACAGAAAATGTGTTCTGAAAGGTCACAGCACAGTTTGGCATCTAATGATCCAGTTTCTCCAAAGAACCGTAAAAATTCAACTTCATTACTTACGTATATTTAACAAGAAGTAGAAATAAGTTTAAAAATATATTTGTCAAGAGGAGAGAGGACAACAAACTGAGAGAGGTAAGGCAGTTAAGCCTCCATTATACAACAGAGAGTATTCACTAGGCTTCAACATCTCTACAATACGCTTTACAGTCTGGCAGTGCTGCTCACAGTGTTGACTCTAAAAATGCACTCCCACAAATCACAACAATGCATTTCAAGTTGCTCCCAGCGCGATGTAACGCACGAACAGACGAGCGTGCCAAATGCATTTCCACAGCTTCACGTTATCTGCTGGGAGGCGACGCCGGCTCCGGTCTGCTGCGGGGTCTGTAACGTCTCTGTGTGCGTACATACAGTATTTGCATGCATGCATGTTGGGTGTGATTCTCTACAGTTCATGGGAGATAAAAGACGGCCCCAGAGGGGTTGCCGTCGGCTCCAGGCTGACGTGGGACAGAGTGTGGCTTTGTGAGCGCGTTAGTGTGTGGAAATGAGCAGGCGGAGCTTTCCCCTGAGCCTGGCCCTCGTCCTGCTCTGAGTTCTGGCTCGGCGGCGCGGTGGAGGCTTCTGGTTCCGATCCAGCCGCGGTTCCTGCTCCTGAGGTGCCGCGCTCCTGCTTGTGTCTCTCCCAGGCTGAGCTCAGCTTCACGGCCAGCGCCAGTAAGTTTTTCCCTAGAAACACAGTCGACACGCGGGAGTCTCTGTACCACAGCATGCCGGTTCCCCGAAGAGCCAGGGTGAAGATGTTGATGGTAACCAGGCTGAGCCAGGGGTACAGAGCCTCCCGGCGGGGGCCCCTCTGCCCCGGCAGCCCGGTGGCGCCCAGCTCCGTCAGCGCCACGCATGGTAGCAGCAGCAAAAGCGCGTAGCAGTAGAAGAAGACCAGGCCTTCCGCCCAGATCGGCAGCCTCTGCTCAACGACGCCTCCGGACCCGCCCTGGGCCTCCCAAAGCCCCGCCTGCAGGTCCAGAACGTCCAGGAGGTCGACGACGACCCACAGGAGCCGGCTCCGCACTTCCTGCTTCCTGCGCTGAGGAGTCATGTGATCGGCGCCGGTGAGGATGAGGAACAGGGAGGGCAGGCAGATGGACAGCAGCAGCGTCAGCGTCTTCCTGGCCAGCGGGTCGGGCGGCCGCCGCTCCTGCCTGTAGTTGTGGCAGACGAAGAAGAGCTTCAGCTGCAGCAGCGACAGGAAGAGGAACCACAGGGCGTTGGCGAAACCGCGGCGCGACGACTGCGCCTCGGAAACCACGCCGGCCGAGACGAAGCGCAGGGCGAGCAGGAAGCAGGCATCGCCCAGCAGCACCGCCACATACTGCCACACGCTGGGTCCAGACATGCCGCGAGCTCCCAGCATGCTCTGCTCCAGCAGGTAGAGGTCCACCACCGCCATCGTGCTCACCGTGACCAGGGTTGATACGCACACCTGGGGCGTGGGCACCATGCCTGGAACAGAGGCACGACAGATGGCACGTTTATGGGTGTAGCTCATTTCTTTACATCATAAAAACACAGGACGCCACACAGCCATAGTTCCCACAGGTCTGAACAGGAAGTGATCTGCGCCATCTTAATTTGACAACCCTGACCGTCCTCTTCACCAAACTCTCTTCAGTATCTTCAGTCAGAGGCTTCTTCAGATTCATAGTAATGCAGACTGCTACAAGAGATCTTTCCTGCCAACAGCCATCACTACCTGTAATAACTCTTTGAAGAATTTGAATTAAGGAGTTACAACAACATTTAATTTTCCTTTGGGATCAATGAAGTATTTTTTAATTGAATTGATTTGAAGTGCATGCGTAATGCGTAGAGGACCCATGTCTTCAAGACCAACAAAAAGAAACTAATATGTGGACACTCTTGACCAATGTGCAAGAGAAAGATATATGAACAAGATGGCTGCTGTTGGGATCGACCCGTATGAGTCGGACAAAGAAAATATGTCAGTGGGACAAGCAGCTTCCTATGTCATAATTTACTACTTATTGAACACGAATGGAGGAGCGATGTGGCTTTAAATCTATGGATACAATCAATATTTAAACGGCTTTGTAAAGGAAGTACAAACTCTTCGTGTGAATAACAAGGTTCTGGTGACTGGCAGAGGAAGTACATGTAGTAACAAACATGTAGGCTACATGTCCGTGTTAGCTAGCAGATAAAAGCTACAGTAGCTTAGCTAGTTCTGCAGTAAGTACAACAGTAAATATCGCTGATATTTATCTTAGCTTTACACAGAGGTGGGTAGATTAACTCTACTTGAGCAGTAGTTGTGATTCAAGTTGGATAGGAACAAGGAGAGAGCGAGCTCTGCTAAGTTTGTGTATTACTGTTGTCATAGCAACTCCATAGCAACCGCCTGCTAAAGCGGCTGTCAGTTACAAAGTTTAACGAAAGTCAGACATACATGGGAACTATTGAGAAAACCGCTAACAAATATTACATTTTGATGAGTGCCATCATCAAAATCATCACGTCAAATATGTTGGTGAACGTTTTATTTATTATTTAAAAGCAAATCCAAACAGGTGGGTTTTAGTCCTGATTTAAAGGAACTCAGTGTTTCAGCTGTTCTGCAGTTTTCTGGAAGTTTGTTCCAGATTTGTTGTGCATAGCAGCTGAATGCTGCTTCTCCATGTTTGGTTCTGGTTCTGGGGATAAAGAGCAGACCAGAACCAGGAGACCTGAGAGGTCTGGAAGGTTGCTATGACAACAGCAGATCTTTAATGTGTTATGGTGCTAAACCGTTCAGTGATTTAGAAACTAACAACAGTATCTTAAAGTCTCTGAACTACAGAGAGCCATTATAGAGACTTTAGAAATGGTGTGATGTGCTCCAACTTCCTGGTTTTAGTCAGAACGCCAGCAGCAGCGTTCTGGATCTGATTGATTTTTTAGGCAGACCTGTAAAGACACTGTTAAGCAATGTGAGATAAACGCATGGATGAGGTTTTCTAGATCTTGCTGAGACATTAATCGTCTAATCCAGAAGAAATGTTCAATCGATGGAAGACTGACTTTATAACCGTCTTTATGTGTCAATAAAGTTCAGGTCGGAGTCTGTCACTATGCTCATATTTTGGGTTTGATCAATTAAGAATCCCTCTTTTTTTCGGACGCCCATTTGTTCAAATTGACTTTCAGTCAGTTTTATTGTGTTTTATTTCTGCTGTTTAATATTTTCTGTGGTTTTGCATTTCATTGCTTTAAGTAAAGCATTTTGTGGTTTCCTGTTGAAGGTGCTATACAAGTTTTACTTACTTACTTACATATCTGCCAAGCCATCTGTGTTCCAGTAAAAGTGACAAATGTGCAGCACAAGACGTGATTATTTTCCGGCATTATTTCCCAACCAACTGTAAACTACTTTGATGCCTGTTGCTATGGTTAAAGACGTTAGCTGCAGAGGAGAAGCAGTGAGCGCCCTTCATCTTTGGCCAGAACAACACACTCTGGTGACTCAAGCTGAGAAGCCTATTAAACTGTTTATTTTACATCTTTCTTCCACCGTTCTTTGAATTAAATACCCTTCATTTCCCATAAAAGACCCAAGATTGCTTCTGTTTGATTCGCAGATTTTTCCACAAGTTTCTACTTGTGTTTCTTTTTCAATGCTCTGCTCATTCATTATTAATTAATCGCATTCAGGGGGAGCTAGGTGCCCTGTCAAAGCTTTTTCTTTGCCTCAATAGTCTGCCGTGTTTATTCTCATACCGTGCTGCTAGCCTTTAATCATTCCAAATCCCCCATCTCGCTTCAGATGAATATTGATAACTTGCTATTTGTTTGGAGACGCGCTCGTCTCGTGGCTTTGTGTACACTGCCGGGGTGACTGCACGGAGACAATGCCAATGCGGCTGAACAGGGAGGGTTCATCCTGTAATTTTGCAACAGCTCATAATGTGCATCAACCACCGACGGAATAAAAAACGGCATCGATCTGCGGGAGTGAGAAATGATCATTGACTTTACAGGAGAATCGAACCGGAGTCTCTCTCTGTTGTGTTTGGTGTAAAAAAAAAAAGAAAAGCGCAGCAGCGCGGTTCGCTTTCTCTGTTCAGTGTCAACCCCTCAGCAGATCGATCAGCATTGTCATATGAAATCATTACCGGTTTCAGCCGTGCCCTAACAGTTGATCGAGCTGCAGATTGTCAGTCTGCCAGTGAAAAACGTGTATTGATATCTCGCTGATGGAAGACACATCGCATCCCTAACTCCAAGGCGCTCCGCCGCCTTCCTGTCCTTCCTGAGTCATTGAAGACGACAGAAGATCCCCCGCTGGGAGGAAAAACCGAGAGTTTTATACATTGGTGCATGTGTGGATTAGGAAAGCTGTAAGTGAAAGATTAATAGGCCTTCTGGGCTGTCTGCATGGCTAATAAAGTGTTGCTGCATGATGGTGATAGTTCATAAATAAGCTCAAGGGAAGAGGAGGTGATGAAGAAGTGAAAGTGACTTCCATCCACTCGAGCAAGCCTGGCCTGAATTAATCCAAATTCATCTTTGAGATTCTGGTGGCATCACAGTATTTATGCAGAAACGTGATGGACCGGTTGTAGTCTAAAACAGAGAAATTATTATTCAAACAGCTGCTATAATAACTTAACCTCACTGATTAATACATCTATACTAAAGTTATATTTATTCATGCGGATGCGTCAGTGATGAATTAATACCTTTATTGTTACTGAGGACTGAAACTAGAAGAGATGCTTCTGCATTTTGCTGTAAAAAAGTAAAAATTAATCCACAAAAACACAAAAATATCCTGCAGATTAGGGAAAATATCCTGAACCCTGTTGATTCTGTTTGCACCAAACAGAGATGGTGCCGTTTTATACTTGAATACATTCAGAAGGTTTATGAAACTTTAATGCAACTTTAAAAAGTGACACTGAAGCCAAACAGAAAAAACTCTACTGTTTTAAACATTCAGGTTTACGGTGATGGAAACCAAAACTTTACGCGTCTTCCTGCTGAAAGATAATCCAAAACTCACTCTGCATTAAAGCAGCGTTATTTAATAGCACAATCAAGTAACTACGTTAACTCCAATTGTTATAAAAACACCGAACATATCAAACACAACTTAATTGATTTTGTGAATTAATTCATTGAAATTGTCTCTTTAAGAAGCTCATACTGGTGGATGAGTGTTTAAAACTTGAGTTGCTTTTCACATTTGGTGGAAAAAAATGTCATTGTGTGACAGAAAATCACAAAACCTTTACATTGTTATAAAAAGCAGCCTCTTTGCACTCATTCTATTAGTTTATTTTGCAATGAGTATAAACTGTCGAACGTGACATCATCAGTGATTAATAGTCATTTGTTAATTAAGTGCCACTATGTAGTAGTAAAACAGAAATCCCACTGCAACTTATTGATTCAAAAGGACATCGTGCCACAAGGAAAACGAATATAAAACACGTCTGTTGCTCTAACAGTCGAGTCCTTTGCAGTCCCAAACGGATCTGGTTCTGGTCAAAATACAATGAAGGATAACCAAAACATTTTGACTTGAGGATTGAGACGTCTGTAAATGCAGTCGATGACGTGCAGGACACATAAGATTTAGGCTAAAGTTTCTGAACGTATATAAACACCTTTAACATTAGTTCCAATAACGTCTGAGATTTGATCTGGGTTTTGTGGTTGTTTTAGGTGGGTTTTACATTTTGTTTGGGCTGAAAACTGTTGGTCAGATCTGGCAACCCTGGCCTCTGGTCGGCTTCTTTTTAAGACATTCAACTCATAGCTTACAAATTGTAAGACGTTCTCTTGCTAGCTCCGTTTCCTTTTCAAATATCCGCAAAACTTTATCAATTTTCCGCTAATGTCAAAAAAACACAATTTTTCAATTTACATCGCATGTGAACATATTTGATGTGTATTGATGATTTTAATGATGGCAGTTTGCAAAATGTAATGTTTTTTTTACTGGTTTCTCAGTCGTTGACTGAGAAATTTTGTGTTTTTATGATGTAAAGCACTTTGAACCACCTCGTTGCTGGAACGTGGCATACAAATGTGAGTGATTATTTTGGCTCATGTTGAGGAAAAACACTCCAGTTGACCTGGATATCATTAAAAGAAGATATGAGAGATGGTATCATTAAAAATTTCAGCGATTTTGGAAGCGTAACCTATTAAAATCTTGACGTTGAAGAAGTTGGGAGTATTATAGAAGGAAATCAAAGGTTGGGCTTTTATAATGATCTGATAAATCTTACTCGGAGTGACTGTGGAGGAGGATGGATCGGAAACATCTCATTGGATACGACACCTTTTGTCTCTCAGCGGGTTGATTATCATCCCCTGAAACCTGAATGAATTTCCTGGCGGCCGATTGAGTGGATATTGGAATTTTAAATGTGTCTTGTGTTTTCTCGGGGAACAAGCCCAGCCTGGAGGGAGGTGTGGGTGAGGAGAAGTTCACAGCCTCTGTTTGCTGCTAAGTTATTCCACCTGCACGGGCTGCGAATCCTCACCCTGGAAATCTGGAAATCTGTTTGTGTTTTCGCTCCCCTCCCATGTCTGCGCGGTGTAATTTATTCTGCTCTGACTGAGAGGCAGGGATGACAACCCTCCTGTCCAGCCGGGCTCAACGGTAATGACCAAATTCATCATTCTTGCTGTCTGGGAAGTGACACGGCTGTTGACAAGGTGAGGCAGCCCATTTCACAGTAAGCATGAGTTACCGTGCGCTCGCAGGTAGCACTAAAGACCAGTTTCATCAACCTTGTGTGTCTCTCGTGTTGCATTGTCCAAGTAATCATCCAGAAAGCAACTAAAATCTCTGACAGAGATGAAGCGAGGCTCCGGTTTCCCCACTTTCAGTCATTTTCTATTAATATCTGGTGATTCCCGAGTGGACAGAAAGAGCCATGTTGGAGCCAAGATTCATTTGTCTGCACCTGCAGTTTATCTCCATAAACACCCGTAGCTCGGTGTCCCCAAATTGCACAATTCAGCAACCACAGGTGGCTGAGGAGCATCAAGGGCATCAAGACAGCTAATAATTTAATGGAGCTCAATAAATCCTCCCTCCAGACCCAAATCAACATCAACAGATGTTTTAGAGTTACATTCCCCCCCTCATTAGCCGCCTTGCAGCTTTGAGTTTTACAACATGTTATAAAAACGGACATAATAACTGTAAATAATTTAGAAAAAAGTGAGGTTGTAGTTACCCAAACCATTCGTATTGCACTTGGGCTCAATCGTCCTGGCGTGATTTAGAAGCGCAGTCGGGTGGCCAATAAGTGGATCCCCCCTCCCTCCTTTAGTGTCGATGATGAGCCGATAAAAGTGTCACTGTCCGGGTGTTTGGCCGCTCACGCTCCGGGAGAAGCTCCACCGAGAAGCCCCGTGATGAAGGTGCTGAGGAATTAAAAACAAAAACTCGTCTCATAGTTAAAAGATTTCCCCCTCGTTTTCAGCGCAGATGTCTTTCTTCCCGGTTCGGCTCGGTTCTATACGCTCCGGGTTTGGGGGGGAGAGGGGGGGTTTCCTGCAGAGGCTCGATCTGGATCCGGATCTGCGAATGCTGTCGCCTGCCTGCAGTGTGGGGGTCTGTTAATCTTTTGACACAGCAGCGGGGGAGGAGAAAAGGCAGGAGGAGGAGGGGAGGAAGGCTGCTCCTGCTGCTCCGGCGGCTCCGGCTGTGCGGAGCGGAGTGGAAGTCGCTCAGAAGTGGAGCTTCATCATCAGCAGCATCATCCTCATCTGCGTTGGAGCGGCGGAAATCTGCAAGGTGCGAGGCGAACTCCAGCACGCTGAGTTTCGGTCGTGGTGATTTGTAAGCAGGCTACGTGCTCAAAGCTCAGACCTCCCACCCTCCTTCAGTTCCTCCTCCTCCTCCTTTCTTCCTCCTCCTCTTCCTCAGCTGTGGAAAGTTCAGCAGGAATGGAGGAATATTTAAGAGCAGCGTCTTACAGTTGTGATGTTTCTAATAATGAAAGCAGGGGCGGCTCCTGCGTGAATGGGGCCCCGGGCGAGCAAACCATGCATGTTGAGTTTTCTCATTGGAAAAATAATAATAATAATTTGATTTTTGTTTTAAAATTAATACCAGATGCATTAGTTAAAAAAAAGAACTCACAACTCAACTGGGATAGTAAGTTTTTTTTTTAATTATTTATTTTTTAGTTTTTTGAATATATGGACATTTAAATGTGCGGTATGTACATTTTATGATTTTTTTTACATATTTGTTAAAACTGTCACAATGTTGTGACATTATAAAATGAGACACATAATCTGTTAAAAGATCAAGCTCCTCCTTGGGTTATTACTGCTTTCAGAAGAAATGCACCGCTCCAAACTAAAAACAGCCAATAAGAGCCAGGAGTAGGGTCTTAGCGCTGTCAATCAACCCCATGTACATGCTGCTAAATAAGTTGCTGGTGGAAAAACAATTTACTGTTTCAGGAAAACTATTTATCTGCCGTCATCGGTGGTTAAGCCAAATAGCCTTAGCATTTAGGCTATGCTAGCTGCAGCGTAGCAAAGAGCAAAAGGGGAATGTACAGGAGGTGGATGGCCACACGGAGGAATGATTTTGTGCACAAAAATGTAATAAACATGTTTTGTGTCGCCCATAGAGCCATCCTAACCTGTTCAAGGATGCATAATAGGTCACCTTTAAATGCCAGTTTCAGATTATATTTGCTTGTCTGACTTTTAATAAACTGGGCTTGTAAATAAGAGTTCCAACAAACATTATGATGCAGCTGATGGATTCCTATTCTTCCTGAGATCTGGTTCCTCCTGCTGACAGACAGGAGGTTTGGATATGACCCATATCAAAAACCGTCACTGCTTTCAAAACCTGATTTTGTTTTTCTGCAGAAAGCTTATTTTACCCATCATTGCTTAATGGAGAAGCAGCGGAAGTGGAGCGAAAGATGTTTCTAGCCTGCAGACAGAGTTAGAGCTCCAAAAGCAGATGTTACCACTTTAATTAGCCCTCCTTCTGTCTGCTCACTGCCTTCGTCACACCAGGAAATTATCCTTCTGTTGTAGATTAACTTCTTTTTGGCGGCTTTGTGCGTGTTCAAACAGGAGGATTGGGAATTTTCACAGACAGATTTTGTTGGGAAAAATGAATCTTTGGAAACTTCTGGCTCATTACGTCGTCAAGAATTCAATTTCAGTTCCTTTGTCAGACACATTTTGAATGTCACGGCGTCGCTGTAGCCTCAAGGTTTTAACATTTTTAGCCGAGGCTCAGGTCCTCAGCTCTGCTCATTTCTGAGGCTTGCAGAGTGTTGGGTTTATTGTGGAGTGAGAGGTTTAATCAGACTGGAGAGAAGAGCGATGGAGAGTCATCTTTCTTGTCAGATTCAGCTCCCCGCTCCGATGGCTTCCAAGAGAGGAGACATTTTCCATTTTCCTCACTCCAGTGTTTTATTTTTTTATAATAGCGTATGTGCTTTTCAAGTTGTCCTCTTTTTTTTCTGTCCATGCTGCTTCATCTCCTTTCCCTTCTTGTCTTTTCTTCTTCCCACTGGGTGTGGTTGAAGGTCACTCACTCACTGGCTCACTTTCGCAGAGGAAAAAAAAAAAAAGATGGAGAATAGACGAGTGGGCAGCCAGGCGGCCCGGCTGTCCACAGTACTGTGCACTCATCACTTTCTGCCTCGGACATGATTGGGGGAAGTTTGGAAGGACGCATGAGGTTACAGTCTGTCAACAGAGAGCCGTGCAATGACCTCCACAAACACGCAGGAGTCATTTTCCTGCTCTTACTCTAACTTATCACGGCAAGAGGCCTCAACCGGAGATGTCGCCTGATTTTAACTCCAAACATTAATCTTCCTTGTCAAAATCTGGCTCTTGTGTTGCCCATAATTCAAGCTGATTGCCAACAGTTCTGCAGGTAGCTGATAATGAAGCCTGGAGCAGCTTGCCTCCAGCAGAGAGAAGGAGTTGGAGAGGCTTGTTCTGTGTAATCAATAAACAGAGCCGCATGAGAATCTGCAGAAAGGGGACAAACAGCGAGAGACAGAAATCCTCTCTGGTTTGTAGCAGAAGTGCATCTGAGCAACCTTTAGTTTTATGTGATGTGTGGTTGACAGCAGAGCCTGAATGTAACTTTTATAGCCGTTTCCTTTGCAGCAGGGATGCATGGAAACATTTTGTTCCCAGAATCTTGCAAGTTTTGGTGCATTTTTTTGT